GATCTAAATATAGAAGTAATTGATTTAGAATCGTCCATTTTACTCAGTTTATAAAGAGGTAAAGGAGGGAGGAGAGCATGTGATCTGTGATCATAATAATTCTCCGACCCAGTAGCAAGCATTCATGGTCCTTACCGGACCAGATTAGTCGGATTTCTGCGTCATCGTTTCCACGTTCGTTCTAGAGTCTTTCTCATTCTCCGGAATCGAATCTTCAGTAGAATTTTGCTGATTCTGTCCAGACGATACTTCACTAACGACCTGATTAGCAGAGGCCCAGATTTCCTGATGTACGGCAAACAAGAGCTTACGCTTGCGTTTTTGATCTTCGGCTTTGTTATGTTCGGCGTTAACCTGAAGGAAAAAGAAATAGATGAAACAAAATTTAATTTAATCTGAGGCTCAAATGTAATTGCCTTTCAACTTTAGAGAAAAATATTTTGCTTTTGATGAATCTGCTGTTTTTGAGAGTTGGTATTCTTTATCCCCAAACAGCAGAGGGGCCGAGCAAGGCAATGAACAAATGTGTCGACCATTGTATGATGCAACACTAAATTCGGAAGCAATTGGCTAAAAAAAGTGGTCCTTCTGAATGCCATATTCGTATAGAAAGTGCACTAACTCCTAGAAGAAAAAGATAATAACAAAACCTTACCGGTATTCTAGTATATATCGAATTTCATTTTGTCGATGTATAGCCAGGCCTGTGAGACTGGCAAATTTCGCAAATGCTTCAGTTCTTGAATGATTAGGCAACAACGAAAATGGTGTTATGGATAAGCGTGATCTGAAGTAGATGAAAGTTATAAATAACCGCTACATTTCCTGAATACATGTGATGCACAGCCGTAGTTTTGTGTGGGTAGGGCGATGTAATAGGTAGTTAGTAAAAAGCTTGGCTCTGTTTGTAAGAGTATGTATCTCATTGAGCTAAAACTCCTATAGCACAAATAATGGCATATCTCAATCGGCAAATTATACTAATTAATTGAGTGTATTATATGCAGTGTAGCGCCGTATCTCAAACGATGATGTTTCAAAGCTAACAGTATATATTGAATAAGAACTGGAGATCCCAGATCACTAACGGTGAGGTATAGACGAAGGGTTGAATATACTAGAATGGAAGGAGTAATCTTCAGGGTGCCAGTTAAATTTGCCTAGCCTTGTTTCCCTGATGGTTTTCTTTTATATGGTGGATTACAGTTTATACCAGGCCTCATCGTCTTTCCTCAGCACCCCCAACAGGATTCCAAACTGAGTTGTGGGAGCAAAATGAAAACGAGTGTCCTTGGGTCATAGGGCAGATTTACCATAAAATCAAATTTTGGCTATTAATTATCGCAATACTATTCGTAGAATGCCGAGATGAGCCAAGGCTCACCATACAAATGATAAGAATTAACTTATGATGATTAATGCGATATAGTACTGGTCGTTGAGTAAATGTGGTGATTTCATTAACTAAGGCTTAAAGGGGATAGTCCGAAGCGAAATATCCATAAAATACCTGGAAAATCATATAAACGAACTAAATTAATCTAATAAGAATTGAATGTCATTGCATTTAACTTAGCCTTGCTGCCCAATAAGGTTTTGTTATCCAAATTGTACTGCATTTTCTACCTCGTATCACCGATTTTTAGCATCACACTAAATGAGATTCGAAATCGGGTCGTATGCGTCGAGGAGACAAGTTCCCACTCAGCTAAACGCCATAGATTTAAGTGAGTCACAGGGCAGATGAGGCTTTCAAAGTAAGCTAGGCCTGACCCGAAACACATTTATACTGAGATTTTCGATAAGATAAACGCGTATTTGCGATTGCAGTCGATGAAAATATTTATATTCAGCACAATCAGATTTTAATCTGTAGATAATAATTAAATAACAACTTAATCACACCCAGGATGCGTAGATTGAGCTGAAGACTAATATTTTTGAAATATACTCACAATTAATATAAATAGGTTAGGTGATTGCAATATAATTACATGTTTACTTCATCGACCTTTCCGTTAAATATGTAATTTATGGAAGGTTATATCTTCCTTGTAGGCCATTCGTATCAGCGATTTGCAGCGAAGTGGTAACAGGTCGTCTTGATGCACACGACACAATTGTTAATATCGTGTTAAGAGACGGTGAGGCCGAGTATGGGATGTAAATCTGGCTGAAATTAAACTGTATCTTGAGGTGTATTCCTTTCGCCAAAAGAAAAATCAGCTATCACTACTTAAATCCCTTTAACTGATCTGGGTTGACTAAGTTGTCATTCAAAGAAATAGTGATCGTTTCGAGACATACATGCACCGAATGTAAACCAGCGACAGAGAGAATATCACCGATTCGATTATTCTTCTCGGATCAGATGACAATCATAAACCGGTCTGGGTTAATTACCCTGTTCAAAAAGTGTACTTATATAAGTACGTGACGAACCAACTATAGCAGACATCTTGCAAAAAGGGACGTGCGTGTAATTGATTAACTGTCTGGACGGTCAAAAAACTATTAGTTTACATGCACATTCAGAAAAGAGAATGCTCATCTCAAAGAAAAAGTAGGCAAGAGCAAGCTCAAAGATTGGCTTGAATGCCCGCTGAGCTATGAATGCATTTGTTATTCTTAGACCCTCTAACACTATAAAAGCTGAGTCGATTTAGATGTTATTTAATGCAAATATAACCAGACTTTCCAGCCCAAACCACTATAAAGGTACAAAGCCTGATGGATTGGTCAATCAAATAGTAAATATACGTGATGTATTCACCTTATTACATTTAAGGTGATGAAGAACTGGTGGTTAAATTTTCCCACAATTATATGAATAGAACTGATGTTTCCATTGAATGTCAAATATCCTTGCTTTCCCAAAAGGTGTCCTCATCCAGGGCGGACTGCAGTTTCGACCTCGCGTAAGTCTTATCAACACCCTCAGTGGGAGTCGGACCATGACAATGCATCGTGAAATCTCGAAGCGTCGGCCACTACGAGTGCCCTTGAGTTACAGGGCAGATATGAATTTTAGGCAAGGCCAGGCTTTTGCCCATATCACAGTCTGTGATGGGATTGTCGATAAAGCAAAGTTGTATTTGCTTTGACGATCGGCTACATTACTTATTTTCCGTCTATAAGTAGATTCTCGATACTATCAGTAGATCATATGATACGGGAAAATGCCTGGTCTTCCTTAGGATTCACATCTGCTGCGACCCAAGGGCATTCGTGGCAATGTGGCATATTGATTAAAGTGTCAAGATTATACGCTGCATTGTCATGGTTCGAGTCCTACTGGGCGAGGTTGAAACTGCAGTCCATTCTGTATGAGAATACCTTTTGGGGAAACAAGGCTGTTAAATTCAATGGAAATATCATCTTTACTCATACCATTGTAGGACAATTAATCTGTCAGTCCCCTTGTCATCCTAAACGAAATAGGATGAATGCATCTCATATATATGATCTACTGATAGTCTCGAAAGCTTATTTACAAACGTGGATTACACATATTTGCTTATTCTACTGTCTCACTATAAGTATGAGCTAGAAGAGGCCTGGTTTTCCTTGAATGTCGCCTTTACAATGAGACATGCTGACGCCCGTGACTGTGAATTGGTGTGGAGAGGTAAAACCGCCACGTTACACACGACCCGGAATCGAATTCCACTGAAGATGCAGATGAGACTTAAATTCAATAATATCGTGAGACCTACTTTTCGCATTTTGGGAAAAACTTAGCAATCAGTCCTCAAATTATCATAAGCGGCCTAGGGTGGCATAGGTCTTATTCAAGAATTACTGATAACTCCGAAAGCTACTAATATAGTAATTAAGTGTCGTTTTTCATATAACCAGCAAAGGTGGTAGTGAGACATAGGCGATACCAGAAATCAGGATTATAAAGTGAGTTAGGCCAAAAGGGAAAATTTGATTCATTTGCAATATTTACTCTTCTCTCCAGCCCATAAAAGACTTATTGGCAAATTGCTTTTTTGCTCTCTGTATTTGGCTTTCATTTTTTAGCACCTTCCTACGTTACTCCTACCTATCGTTTTATTTTTACGTAAATGTTAAACATTTGCATAGTTATCTTATTTCTTTCTCCCGGCTTAATGTAGCAACCGCATGTTTTAACTAATTCTTGAAAGCTTACTGTGATACCATTCCCGTACATCCTAACGAACTTTGCGCATCGCGTTTCTTTGAGTCCGTCTACTAGACAATTATGCCTCAGATAGTCCATTCATGCGTTCATTTATAGCAAGGTAGGTTTTGAAATTATCAGTCAATCTTGAATTAAACTTCACTCATCCCAGATAACAAGACAATCTTGAAAGTGTGAGGGTTAATCAAATAATTGTGGTATAAATTCAACTATTACTCCCATATCACCTTATACGACCTAGGGTGAATGGGACTCTTATTTAACATTTTCGTTTATAAGTATGTAGGCAGTTGATTTTACTACAATTATACGAGTGGGCCTAGCATTTTCACTGGTCTCCAAGAGGTATTCTTATTCAGAGTAACTGTAGTTTGAACCTCGGCTGGGTCTCATCCGCACCCCCAATTGGAATCTAACCCCGATTGTGATAGTGCAGCGTATTTTCTCAACATTTTAACGACCATAAAAAGTAATATGAAGAAGCCTTACCTTCCTTGAAATTCACGTCTGCCCAGGTTACTCGTGGCAGTTTGGTTCTCATGGTAACATGTCGAGACTATAAGCTGCATTACATAGGTTTGTGTCCCGCTGGGGGTGCTGATGAGACTGCAGACAAGCCTGGATGAGAATACCTTTTTGAATTTGGAGGAGTTACGTAAAATTAAATGAAAATCCAAAGCCTACTCATATAATTGTGGGAAAAATTCAACTACCAGCCATACATCACCTTATGCGACCAAGGGTGACTGGAACTCTTAATCCCTTTAGTTAACCTCCTTTATTGAGTATGCTTTTCAGCCCACAGATTCCCATGTATCTGACTCACTTACATAAGGGATCAGCCAGTTGTGCACTAGGCCAGCACAGATCTCCTCAGGGCTCGTCGAACTGTCAGGCAGTCCAGCGGCAATGGCTGCCTCGTCAACTTGTTTGGCCAGCTCGTCCATCGAGAGGCGGGCAAACTTGTCTGCAGTGAGCTCGATCGCCAGTCCGGACACATTAGCCAGGTAAGTGTCAACGGTCTCCTGGTGAACTTTGACCATCTGTAGAGAGGATGGGAATAAGAAGCATTGAAAAGAGGGCTGGCAAGTTAAGGAAGGGAAGAGGATCACTCAAAAGCTGTGTGGAAGACACCATTTAGATGAGGGGTTGTGAAGGAAATTAATCAAATAAATAGAGTGAAACGAGGTAAACTGGATGACTTGGAAGATAGGTAGACAAAATGAAAGATTTTGATATTTACCTCTACGTATCGATTCCGCTACAGGCAGAAATGAGATAGATTTCCTGTGTTGTGTAGATCTGTCGGCCATTTAATTATCGTCTTGACTATGGTTGAGTTGTGTGATCTAATTTTCTGATCATTCCAAATTAGAGTTAGTTCTTTCTCTAGTGCTTCAATTATTTCCGTACTTTGCAGAAGTGGAAGCAAGGAGCGACATATCACGTAATACGAATCAGAAAAAAAACTCACCCCACAAGAGGTTCCCTTTGCCTCTCAATGTTGATTCAGAAGAGAACGTGAGTTAAGAGAGAATCTTTCACTGTCTTTCGTTTTTATAAGTGGATTTTCGAGACTAAATCTCACATAGTCTTTCACTGATATCAACCTAATGGAACTCATTTTACTAGAAGGGTTCAACTGGTGGATTGCTGCGCTATGGGTTCATTAGCCGATTTCATAACAGTTGTAAAAGATTTTGTTCGTCCAACTACCCTGGGTAGCTTAGTGTTCTGGAAACGGTATGGCTGTAGGGAGATCCCAGAGCAATACAAGGACAGTCGTCAGTACCCTTTTTGGCGAGAGACGGACATCGCTAAAGGAAAGGATAGCCAAATTGTTTTACCTAGTACATCTCAATTCGAACATATTCAAAATCATGGATAGCCAGATAGGATGGATCCTAATAACTCGATACATGCAAGAAATTTCACGTTCACACAACGAATGATTTACGAAATTGGGCGAAATAAAGTTACTGTGAATGGTCGCAACCAGCTTCCATTATACAGACTCGGATTAACAGTACTTTTGGTATTTAAGTAGGGTTTCGAGACTACCAGTAGATCAGATAAAAAAGCTGTGCTTCCCTTACTTCATTTAAGGTAATGAAGCTGTTTGTAGTTGGATTTTGACACAATCATATGAATAGACCTTGCATTTCCAATAAATTTCATATAACCTTTTCTTCCAAAAAGTGGACTGCAGTTTCGACCTCACATAAGTCTCATCAGCACCCCCAACGGAACTCGAACTATGAAAGTGCAATTTATAATCTAGACACGCTAAACACTATGCTACATCGCCATGAGTGCCCTTGGGTCAGAGAACGGAGGTGAATTTCAAGGAAGGCCAGGCATTTTTCCATATCACATTCTATGGTCGGATTGTCGATGAAGCAAAGTTATATTTGTTATAGCAATCGACTACATTGCTGCACTGTC